AAAAAAAAAAAAACAAAAAACAAGAAAAGAATAAAAGAAAGAAAACAGATCAAAATAGCAGACGTAAAAAAAAACATGCATATTAGAGAAAAGGAACAAAATAAATTAAGAAAAATGCTAAACTAAATGAAAAACAAAAATTTTTTTCTTTTTTGTTCTTGTCTCCAAACAACTGTTGTTGGTGATTAAATATGAGCACTGACGACACGTAATTGTTAAATTATTAAGTATCACGGAACACAAGCAGCTTCTATGTCTAAGGCCAACTACTTTCACTTCAATCCTTTTCTGTATACCGTTCTTAAAACTCCTCTTTCTTTTCCTGATTTCCCAAACCGCATGAAGACGTTATTTCATAAATGACGCTTAAAAATTTGTTTTTTACTCTAATATATCGTTGTCGTTCTCTAGAAAAAAATAAAAATAAAAAAAAAAAAACAGAAAAAAAAAATAAAGATGACAATTTTCGTTTCCAATTCTCTTCAGCTGTTTTTCATTTTTCCAAAATTGGTTTGTCGACCTGACGAAGAAAATTCGCAAAAAATGGGTATCAGTTATTAGACGACTGCCTTAAACAACTGCTATGACTAATTATTGCTGTCCCACCGGTTTTAATCTTCCTTTCAGCCTAAAATAATGCAAAAAATCTCAACTAAACTTTTCTCTAATTTGCTTTTTTCCCACTGAATTAACGACCATAAAATTCAGCAGTAGTAGCTGTAGCGGTCTAAATTCGTAATGGCAACAGCAATAGCTAAAACAAAGCAGCAGAATTAAGTGTCTTTAGTTTTTCTATTTCGCAGTGAAAAATGGATAGAAAAGTTCAGGAAATGCGAAACAAAGAAAAGGTATGTATTTATTAGTGTCGTGCAATAGAGAGAACATTGTTTTTGGTGGTTACATGCAAATTTATAACGATTAATCAGCTTTTCAGCAAACCCTAACGGTTCATCATTTCTGCTGAATTAAAAACCTGATAGATACTTTTGTTGTAGTGCCAAAAAATAGCCACTTTATCTTATAGCTTTGTCTAAACGATGAAGGAAAAAACTTAAAGATGCAGAAGCCAAAAAAAGTGAAGAACAGAAACGACAGAAGTTCCATTAAACTGCATGCATAACGGCTATTAACTAATAGAAGCAAAAAAAAGAAGAGGAAAAAAGGACGACTGATGCAGTGAGTGAACAAAACGTTCCTGGATAGTAAAGGAATTTAGCAAAGAATTTTGGTTAACATAACCAGCAGCTCTATTCTACTTGTCCGATGTCAAAACGATATTCTATTTATTTCTTCTTTCCATTTGCCCCCAACAAAAAAGTAAAAACAAGAATCCATAGACATGAAGGCGGAACTCATACTCAGAGCCGACTTTTTCCGGACTGATAAATTCTTCTTTTCTGTTGAAAAAACAGAACCGCCGTTACTAAAGAACAAAAAAAAAAGAAAAAGAGGAAAAAAAAATGCGGATTAAAGACGTGCAAGCATAGACGAACTGTACAAAAAGAGGGAGAAAAAAGTTAGAAAAATAACAAAAACAAAAAACTTAATGAAACAAAAATGTTTTTGCATGACATACGATTAAGGGATGAATTATGATCCTTGGATCTCCTGAACTGTTTGCTCAATTTCTTCGGTTAGGTTGCGAACCCTTTCCTTCTCCACCAGAAGTTCGTCTAGAGTTGTTGTTGTTGATAAAAATTAACAAGCTCTTTTTGTTTGTTTCTTGCTTTCTTTTCAGTAAGACATATATACACACTTAGTATACTCATATAAAATACTTGTATACTTGTTTTTTCGGGTTAATAATATTTTTTAGTTTCTTAAATTCATTTTTTTCTCTTTCTAGTAAATGGGATTAGACTTCTGGAGAACATATTTTCCTTCTTCTGGACAACGGACAAAATTAATAGATTATTTAAAAAACGAACGAACAGAAACAAATATAGATATTAAAAATTAGATTAAATTAAAAAAAGCAACGATAACAGCCATTTAAACCGGAAAATATCAAAATTAGATAAAAATAAGAAAAAAAAAACAAACAGCTTTGAAAGAATCATTAGCCAACATATCTTTTTTCCCGTTTTATCTCTTATGGCTAGAGTATATCCCTTTCTATCCCAAAAAAGTCCGACTTTTGACCGTTACAGAAAAATAATTGATCCAGAATACAATGGTTTCCCAGTCACCTGTCCCAATGTTTTCCGCGGCCGTAACTTCACTGAATTTGCTTAAAAATATACCTAACTGATCTAGAAATTTTAGTTCCGTAAAGATTTCCACTACTATTGTTGCTTTCCCCCTCGATTTTGTTCATTTTTTGCTGCTTATACATCCGTAAAAAGTTTTACATGGCACGGAAAAAACATTATTATTGTATTAATTCAACCACCCAAATTTGACGACGGACGGAAATATGTTGCAGGGCACGAAGCGAAGTTCGCGATGCCCAGCGGAGGAAGAAAAAGCATTAAACTAAAGAAGCTTAAAGTGATGGACTTATACAACAGATGGCACTGTTAGCCGGATTCCTACGACTTTTGTTTTCCTATCTTGCAGGTCAAAGGATGAAAAAAATGCGCATGCGAAAGCTACAGAACTTCTGGTCCATTTTGCAATACGGCTAGGAAGCGACGTTTTAGATCCGTCCTTACTTCTTTGCTTTTACTTTCTTTCTCCTTCTTTTTTTTTGCACTCTTAATTTCTTGAAACCAACTACCACTGCTGAATATAATAACATCTCAAAGACTGTTTTAACTGCTTAAAAAATTCCATCCTTTTTGTCCTACAGAGAGTGAAAAGAAAATGAAAAAGAAAAAAGTTTTTTCCCTTTCCTTTGGAACCATGTTTTTAAGTTGTTTTGAAGAGGAAAGAAAACGAATAGATGGTGTGTACAAGGTATACCTTCTAGTCTGTCAACTTCCTTCTGCAATTTCTGAACAGATCTTTCGGCAAATTCAGCACGAGTTTCTGCCTAAAATAAAACCAGCAAAATCAATTGTCCATTTATGTACTGATCATTTTAAACCATATAACAAAACCACTTATCTATGTAAAAGAAAACGACTGTTGTCAAAAATTTTTATGCAAATTAGTTGTTGTTGACCCACTAACTTTTGAATCGGCGAAATTTCTTTTTTTTGCTGTCTATTCAACACATGCAATACGACAGCAATAACCAAACACAACAACAACAGAGTTCAATTATCAAAAGTGACTCCTCGGTGGTTGAAAAAAAAAAAAAAGAACTATATATCTAAACACTGACACGAACAACAGCAATCAAAAATGTTGAAAGAAAAAAGCCAGTTTTCTACAGCTTCTTACCTCCTTCAGACGCGCTGAGATGGTACGGATTTGTTCTTCGTATGAGTCTTCACGTTGAAGTGCTTTTTCTTCTGATACTTCGAGTGATTTCAAGTTGTTGCCGACAACACGAAGTTCTTCTTCAAGCTCGACGATCTTGCTGCACAAACACAATGATTAGCGAACTAATCGCATAATACCACCAACAACATCACCACCACCACCACCACCACCACCACCACCACCACCACTGCTGCTGCTGCTGCTGCTGCTGCCGTCAACATCAACAGTAATACAAAATATGTATAACATCATCACTACCACCACTACCACCAACAACGACAAATATTACTCGCTTAAAAGTGTTTAGAAAACTTTAAATCGACTAAGCACTTGTCTAGACTTCACTGGACTTTATACTATAGTCGATCGCTTAAAGCCCAGATATTCATTTAAACATAACTCAACTGCACAAACATCGTATGACGAGCAGTAAAAAGAGGAAGAAAAAAAGAAAGAAATGAAAAGCAAAAAGTTGCTAAAGCTCTTCATGCAAGATGTTTTATAGTCCGATAAACATATTGTTCAACACTTCTGATATCTGAACGGCTATTGCTGCTCTTCAAAATTTCCGCTTCGACCAAACATCTGCTGTTCACCAGTTCACAATCTACCATAGTTATTTTAACCACTACCGCCATAGCAGTTAGCATGCACTCATTACAGTAACAGTTTTTGATGGTTATTTTTCACCTCTTTGATTCTTTTTTCCAAACACTGAGCATAATCGGAAAATGATGTTTCACGCTGTAACGCACGTTCCTCGTGAACTTCAAGGGTTTTCAAATTAACACCAATTGCCTTCAGTTCTCGTTCCATTTCTCGAGCACTTCTGTTTTAGTTAAATATTTTATTAGTAAGAAAAGTAAGAATAAGATCTCACTTTTTTTTCCTTTGAAAAGAATAAATTTAAGAAAAAAAAAAAGTAAAAGTAAGATTAGTCCTAGTCCTTCATGTTAATTGCCGTTCAGAAAAATAATTTCCAAGGTTAACAGTTTCGGTGATTCATAGTTCGTTTTTTTTTCTTTCTACGTTAGTAAAAAGAATTTTTTCAAATTTCTGTCACAAATAGGAATTGTTAATATGTGAAATGTTAGCAAGGAGGATCTTGTTTTTGTATTTGAAAATAGAAGATGCCTAAGAAAGGAAAGGAAAGAGAAGGAAAGGAAGGAAAAAAGTTGTTCGTGTTAACCAAATAATATTTCTTGGCGTTCAAGACCATTAGAACCCCTCTTCAACTGCAACCCCCTCTTTTCTCTGAGCGAAAAATGCACACATCTGGTACTATGACATTTACCCACCGCTTCTATCCTCTTCATTCTTCCATTTATCTTCTGAACAGCACTCACCACACAGTGATTTGAAACTTTTTTTTCTGAGAATACTGCGAAAATAAGAGTAAAAAGCAAAACTGGAAAATTACCTCAACGTTAACATTTAAATATCAAGTCTAAAATACTCTTTGAAATTTTCTAACAGAATTAAACGAAGTAAAAAACTGATATTCAAATTGACTATAGCATCAAAAAACAACAATCAGTTAATATATAAAAAAAATACATCCCTTTAATTCTTGATCCACTCATCTAGAATTTACCCTCAGCAGTGTCAAATCTAGAAATCGTAAACTAACACATACCTTTATATAAAACACAAAAATATTTGAAAACTAACTTTTCACCGGCTTCAGCACGTTCTTCTGCACGTTCGAGATCTGCTTCAACCATTGCCAATTTACGGGCAACCTAAACAAATGTTGTACGTAACGCTAAACGATCGTGCACTAACAAATAATTAGTCAAAAATCTCTGGAATAAAAAAAAGACAAGATTGACCGCTGTTAAACTAAAGCAGACAAAATTTTTACTTCTTTTGCTAAAATGCCAAGGCTCCTCGAAATTAATTAATGTGATTATGAAAAATGAGTGAAAGAAGAAGAATGAAAGTGATACAGAACTAGTAAATCAGAGGATAATCTGCATGCAAAAATGTCTTCACCTTCTCAGTATTCCTACAATTTCAAATATTTCTTACTCAAGACTCGAAAAGACTAGAAGAAAATTACTGGAAAAAACTGAAGATAAGAAGAAAGAATGTTTAAAACTGCAAAACAAGTTATGTCGCCAAGAGTTCGACAATGATCAGTTGAAGTCACCTCATCGTATTTTCGGTCAGCTTCTTCAGCAAGCAATTGTGCTTCCTTCAGTTGCGATTCAACAGTGTTGGCTCGTTCCTCATCTTGGAATGAGCGATTTTCCATGACTTTTCGTACACTAAAGCCCAAAATAATGTTTAGGCTTCTCACCAGTTTTAATGGAACCAAAAATCTTTCCCCATTTTGTCACTAATCAGAAATTTAAAATGTTAAATTCGGTTTTTACTGAAGACGCATTCAACTGGTTTTGTTTACAAGAAACAAATTTCTCTGTAGTTTTTGCACCAAATTCCTCATTTTCAATAAAAACTAAAAATAGATCATTCTCTCAGTTTTTGCAATAAAAACTATTGACTAAAAAATTTTTGAACAAAAGAAAAGTAAATATAAGTAGAAGACCAAACCGATCGCCAAATGCCCATCGTGGGACAACGGAGAGGAAAAAAACAGGACAATGGACCCAGACATTCACAAAAAAAAATTCAGTCAGACACCAACTGACCACACAGACACCAGCAAAAAAATCGAAGAAACAAAAAGTTTCTAGTTGAAATTAGGTGCTTACTATCTGTAGAAAGACATGCGTCATAAGGAACTGGTTATGTAAACCAAGCCAGTGTGAAAAGAAGAAGAAAATAAGAGAATAAGTAGAGAAACAGATGGGTAAAGTCAACTATATGATTAAAATAAACACAGGAGTACATGAACTGTAAAAGTTATGATGTGATTTTAATGATTTAGGATTATCGTCCGCGTAAGTCGACCACAGGTATCAAGATAAGAACGAATATTTAACAGAGGACAACAAGACATCTTAGTCAAGATGCTCAAATTAAAATAAAATGAAAGTGGCTAATCTCCGTATTAGACCTACATATTGAAAAAACTTCCGTTTAGTACCGCATGCCTCTGAACATTCCAAAGTGAAGGAAACTCACTGCAAGATAACAAAAAAAATTTCTTCACCAGCTTTCAGATTCATCCGTGTTAAGTAACCACCGACTAGACAACGCAGAAACAAGAAAAATTTGAAAAAAATGGAAATTCCGTCAAAACCTCTTCAGATTTATTTTCGGTTTCCGACAATAAAGTCTGCGCTTCACGAAGTTTTTGTTCCAACTCAATACAACGATCATGATCCAGGTCAACACGATTTTCCAATGCTTTTCGAGCACTAAATTGATTAACCAATAATAAACGGCACTGTTAATTCACTCTGTTATCATTATTGTTATTATTATTATTAATAATAATAATAATTATTATTATTATTATTATTATTATTACACTATTATTATTATTATTATTATTACTATTATTATTATTATTATCATTATTATTAATATCATCACAACCATCAGAAAAGTCAGGAAGTCTCATTGCCGATTCGTTAGTTGACTGATTCCTCAACTCTCAAGGTCAGTGGCCATACTCAGTTAGTTTTCAAAGGTTCATAATTCGTTGTGTTTGAAAAAGGTTATAACCGCTAAGTAAATAATTTTTTTGACTTAATAAAAACCATTCTGTGAAAAAACCCCTATTCTAAATTTTCTTTTTTCCCCTGCTTTTCTCATTTCTATTAACAATTCCAGACTTTTGCTTTGAGAAAGTCATAAGATTAATGAGTGCACTACACCGGTTTCTACAGGTAAGTGTTATCAGAATTTTTCAAAAAAGCAAAAGAATGTCTTTTTCCGCTTTAGTAACAAATAAAGATTAAATCTTAACTATCAATCTCCGAAATTGTTAATGCAATCACAAAGACAATATCAATTTAGACGGATAAGCAAGCAAATATAGACAGATCTGCTGATCTGACCCAGCTAAAATGGAGAATATTCTGCAAGCACATGCAGCATTGGATATAAGATAAATGAAAACCTTAGTGTTAAGTTACAATCTGGCAGGCAAAGAAGGCAGTTTAGACATCTATGAATACTGTAACGATGCGTATATGCCACATGCATTGTTTAGTGAATACTAAACAAAGTTCCTAACATCTCGCTTCGTCCCATGTTTAGCCGTTTTTCCACGAAAAAACAAACACCGCAAACAGATTATAATATCAGTGCCAATTCTAATTGCAGAAGGAGCCAAGACTGCTGACGTCTATGTGATTAATGCAGTACTTGTAAACAAAAATAATAAAAAATGAAAAAAAAAAAAGCAGGAGCAAAAAAATGCCAGCGAAAGTAAGTGATATCCCCTCCAGTTTTCGGGTTTTTTTCGTGGCTGTTCATCAGTTCCAGAAAATATTTTCTTTTCTGCAGCAATTCTTAATTTTTCTTTAAAGCCATCTTTTCACGTTACCTCTTCATATTTGCGATCTGCTTCTTCTGCGATGACTTTAGCTTCGTCTACCTGAACTTCAAGAATATTTGCCCTTTCTTCATCCTGCTGTGAACGTGTTTCCATCGACTTACGTGCTCTACACATTAAAAAATAATAGAATGCAAACAAAATGTACAAGAAAATAAAATGAAATAACTAAGCAAACATAACAGTGACAGCAACATTTATTTTAGTAATTTGCTGTGCGTTTCTTAGCAAACTGAAACAGGTTATCTTAGCAACTGAACAAAAAAAAAGAACAGAACAGATTTTAAAGCCCGATCAAAAATAAATAATTTGTAGGCTTAGCATCAGTGTAACTACGAGTGAAAATAAAACAAGCACTGCTCTACATGGCTAATCGCCACAGTCGGTGGAGCTCTACTAAAGCAGAATAAAGTTTAAAAAAAGACCCTTAAAAGAGCCATAGTTCTTTTTTTGGCTTTTTTTTAATACTTGCTTTCACGAACAATTAAAGGTTAGCGTGCTTCAAAGTGATGAGGTACTAAAAACGACAACAACAACAACAACAACGACGACGACACGACATAGAAACTGCAACATGTGGGAAAAACACGACTGGAATGCGAAAATGCCGAACGGTGACAACGGACAGCTAAGTTTCATGTGGCTGCTGAAGCGTTCAGCACAAGGAGTGTCGAACTAAGGCACTGGCGATAGGCGTTATCTTCCGTTTTTGCTGACCGCTCTGATTCATCGGCCGTGTGGGTTGCTTCCTCCAGTTTTTCGGTGGCAATCTTCAAACGTTCCTCAGCTCTTTCAAGCTCTTCTTCAAGAAGAGTCATACGACGATTCAATGCAGCTACTTCAGCTTCAGCCTACAATCACCCCGTACACTCGATTTTGTCCTGAGTGCTTTATTCTAGTTTCTGGTTTTATTCCTAACCCTATCAGATGTACCTATCCCTAGAATCTGACTTTGCCTAATACAACTACAGTACGGAACACACAGAAATCTTGAGTGTCATCAGTTAAGAGTTCAGTTAATAAAAACCGAACGCTAACTGAAACACCATACAAATTTTCTTCATACTGGTGAAAATAATCTTTGCTTTGCGCCTGTCACTGTATCCAACCTGACAAAATTCGTTTCGTAAACGAAAAAAATCTATCTTTTCACAAAACCAATACTGTGTCAGGCTGAGAGCATAAAAGATTAATTTTCATCAACAGCAAACAACAATATGAAAACTTTTTCGCTGATAGTGTTTGCAGATTTATTTTCTGTTTTTTACCGTTCAGCTTCATCTGCAGCTTTTGAAGCTTCCTCTAATTTATCTGTAGCAATTTTTAGACGATCTTCTGTACGTTCCAAATCTTCTTCCACAAGCACAATACGCCTATTCAGAGCGGCAACTTCGGCTTCGGCCTAAATTTTCGTTTATCGAACCTTATAAAGCAAACAACAATAATCAGGAAATTTCTTATCGCTTAAATGTGTTTTTAGCCTAGAATATTTATCACCACTTTTCTTTTTACCCCTTGAAATCAGAAGAAAAAACTGTGAATAAATAAAACAGGTGATTTACAGCTTTAAAAGGAGAAAATAAATGGCAGTTTTTTTGAAGCACAAAGAGAACGCTTTTTCGTAACTAATATGTAATATGTCAGATCTGATCGCATTAAACCGATCAACGCAAATGTTACATAATTTTACTATTTCTTTTTTTTTCTACTACAGTTTTGCCTTTTTTTTTATGGTGTCATTCTTTTTATAATTCCACCATTATTATACACATCAAAATGCAACACCCTCAAAACTGCTCCATCCCTTTTAATTCTATGCAACGAAACAAAAAGTCTTCATTTTCTTTTTCAAAAAATATATTCAATTTCCTTCTTTTTTTTTTTGTTGAAAAAAACAGCTTGGAAAGTTTTCGTTCAACTTTCCGCAAATAAACTTTCAAAAGGTGTAAAAACCGTATTACTCTCTGCAGTCTTTTCCCCATCCTTCTTGTTCACTTCTATATATCTGTATATGCATACTTTGGAGTTGAGTGTTTCTACAAAATAAGTGTAGCAGAAGCAGCAGCAGTGGTAGCAGTACCAATTTTTGAACTAAAATCCGAATAAAGAAACAAAATACCAAAGTTTAGGTTAGTGAAGAGAACATTTAGCAACAACTCTAACAGTAATAACAACAGTAATTGTTTTTTATAGGGAAGAAAATTTGAAGCAACGAAATTCATCAAATACTATGAGTCAAAGGCATTTTAAAATTAAGTTTCCAAGTGCCAATCGTTGTCAGCCTAAAACACAAAAAAAAAATTAACAATTTCTGTTGTTATTGTTGGCAATTTTTTTCCTTTTTTGCTGATGGTAAAATGAAACAAAAGATGAACAAAACTACCGCAGCAAAAAAAAGATGATCAATTTTCAAAAAATAAAAGCTAAATAACAAAGCCTGAACTAAACGAGTTTAGATGAATGAGCAATATGAAATAAACCATTTTCTAACAGCTGCCTCTTTTGGTCACGCCTAAATTTTCAGTACACTAACTATCAAAATTCGCACACTATTTTTAAACACTATAATAATATTAAAAAAATAATAATAAACCTAAAACGACTATCATATATTGATGTACGCTAAAAGCTTTTTTGAGCTTTTTCGGCAAAACTTTACACCGGC